ATTAAATATCAAATATTTGTAAACTTTTAATTGTGCCTTTTTGCAAAAAGGTGAAAATCAAAGAAATGTAAAAATGTAAATAAGCCACTTAAAGTGCACGTATATCCCATAAAATGGTAATTTACAGTCTGCAGTGAGATGCGGTGCCATTCATGCATCACAATGAACCTTGTCAGCGCATCTCAATGGATAAGCATTTCAGCGCACAATAATGCACAGACCAGAAACCATCTGCGTTTTGCTGTGTGCTGCATTTAAAAAAAAGGTTCATGTGTGATAGTAAGGAGGGCATACACTATGGGGTCTATTCACGAAGCTGCCAAAGGATCTAGCCGTAGCTTCGGCTGATCCTTCGGCTAGCTTCGGCCCCAGGACCCCTTCGGTTCAGTAGAACCGAAGGAGTGCTGTACGGGCTATTCTGAGCCGAATGTCGCTCAGCGGCATTCGGCTATTCACTCACTGCTGTTCGGCATCTATAAGAATAGGCTGAACAGCAGTGAGTAGCCGCTCAGCAGCATTCGGCTATTCACTCACTGCTGTTCGGCATCTATAAGAATAGGCTGAACAGCAGTGAGTAGCCTGCCGGAGGTTCGGCTCAGCTGATACCCGAAGCCATGTGAAGCAAGCCGATGTACGGCTGATTTCAGCCGATGTACGGCTGAAATCAGCCGTACCAGCCTGAAGTGAATAGCCGAACAGTGTTCGGCTCACTTCACTGGGGGTCAGTTGTTCACTCGGCTGCCTCGGCAGCTTAGTGAATAGACCCGTATGTGAATTTCGCACAGTGGTTGCTGCTGTCGGCACCCTTTCAGCCAGCATCCCTCGATCAGCTGGACTAAGGAGCCAGTTGGAAAATCTTCGAATGAACAGAGCGGGCAGCCAACGAGCTGCCGGCTCTGCTTGGGTATTCTGACAGTGGCCAGCGAGAGATTCCTCGATCAACACTTGTTGCGTTGATGGAGGAATCTGTTTTATTTTTTTTTCAGCCTGCGGGTTGGCCAGCTTTAAATGCATTGTAGTGTGCTAGCACTCCATTAAACAAAATAAGCTGCCTTAACGCAGTGCATGGTAAAGTACAAAGTAATACACGTTAAAGAGAAACTGTCATTTTGCCCATTCAAAGCACAGAGACATCTGTGAAAAGGCTCCCCAAATCATCAATACTGACCTTTTCAGTGATCCCACACTGCTCCTTCCTTCATTTCTTTTGTGTTGATGTGTGGTTAAACATGTGTGCTACTGCATGTTGCAGCAATGCACAGCAAGGCAAGTATCGCAGTGCAGTGGGGTGACATTCAATTTAAACGCATGTGACCTGTAATATGAACTGCGGTGCCATTCACTTTGAATGGCACTCTAATGCCATTCATTTTAAGTGAAGCACTAAGGAAACGCATCTGCATTTGTTCCGTATTGCAGTGAGGCGCGTTAGAAAACACATTCATATATTTTTTTAAATGCTAAAAAGAAGCACATTAGCACGTGTGTTAATGGGGCCCTGTAAATTTTTTCCTGTGTTGGGGTGTGTTGGCAGCCAGCTCAAAATAAATCAGCTTTGGTGATGAAATGTGCTTTCACACATGTGCAGTAGCGCAGCACAGCACAAAAATTGTGTATCCAGACAAAAATTTGTATGTGTATGAGAAGGCAGGGTGTTTCTGTATTCTTTTTTATTATGTTTTATTTATTTATGTTTTACTTAGCTTACTTTAGCAGGGTGGAGGGAGTGCAAAAAACTTTATGAATGGATGTGATTGGCAGCTTGTTAGCTGTCAATCACATCCATTTATATTTCCAGGCAGTCCTGGGCACCAGATAGCTGTTAAGTTTTTGTTTGCTGAAGCAACCATAAACCCTTATAGTCTGTGAAAATGCAGTGCACGTATGGGTTACTGAGTTGGCCTTCAAGCACATTTGTTCTGACATAACCCTTAAATCCATAGTAGTAATAGGGATAATATTGCAGCTACTGCATTTTACAAATGTATGAAATATACTATATTATTCAGAATATACATACATGTTTTTGTAATCTTTCAACACCCGGTTTGTGTAAAAGGCAGCAGCATCGGCCATCTCCTTCACATAGGGACCTGGAGCAGGGGTCTAAATAAAAGACAAAATTAGAGAGAGGCACTCATTAGTCTTACATTAAAAAATAAACATGGAGTTGGACAAGATGCAATAGGACTGCAAAAGCTAATTTGCAAATTACACTCCCCAGTGAACTTTTTATATTGTTCAATTATAGTATACAACTGTGGCAATTCCCATTATAGTAATATTTGCAACTTAGAGCTTTTCATAAAAGAGGTAATAAATAAAGCATTTTCTAAAGTATGTAGCTGCAAAATGATGTAGGGAAGTGTAGCCTTTTTTACCTGGAGAACAGCTGTGGCCTCATTTAATTAAAATCTTAAAATGGCCATAAAATAATTGAGGACCATTGAGGACATGGCTGTCCTAAAGCACGGATCATAATTGATTTACTGCAAAGTTATTGGGTCTGCAGCATACATCTTCGCCAAGCACCCCCCTCCCCCCCAAAAAAATAGAAGTGCAATTTCACCAGTAGATGCATAAAATTGTCCTCACGATTTCCATCCATAAATAATTGGACCGGATTTCATTTAGATATTGTTCCCATTTTGGTAACCAGCAGTAACATATCAAAGTATGACAAATCTCGATGGGGGGCACACAGATAACAGTAAATAGCTGCCCGAGTGCATTAAATGAAATACAAATGGTCCAGTGAAAGAGGCACTCACGGGTCTTTTAATTAAGAAATCCAGCCAAGTGCCAGGATACTTTCACTGACGGCAGAAAGATGGTTAAACATTTGACTTCCTCGGTTTTTCTCTCGGAATGTCTGGATCTCAAGAATCCTTTCTGATACAGGTTTTAAGATCAACACTGTCTCCTCCTGTAAGCCAGAACACAGTTTAGAATTGAACATTTTGTGTACAATGTATATATTTTTTAAAATGAAAAGCTCAATACTATGTACACTCTAGGCATGGTAATATGAGTAACCTCTGATAACTGCACTTTTCTCTATGAAGGTGTCTTGCTCCCTATTTTGAGTTTCTGTAAAGATCTATGTATCTTACTGTATTGGAGTGCCCTGCAGTTGTGTGTTTTTCCACTTTTTTGAGTCTTCTGTCAAGGAGGTGATGTGGTTCACCTAATATTTAGAGGGTTATTCAATAAAGGGTGAAGAGTTTGGAGAAGGCCGGAGAAGTGAACAATCTAGGACAACTTACCTGAACTGGAAAGTGAGCTGAATTGGAGAATTTTTCCAGTTCAGCTATTTTGTCCTAGATTGTTCACTTTTCCTGCCTTCTCCAAACTCTTCACCCTTTTGTGAATAACCCTGTTAGAGATAATGAAAACAGTTTTTGACTTTTTGGGGGGTTATTGCCCAACATCAGTCATGAGTTCATAAACAGCAACTCTATTGCCTAAATAAAGCATTTTATGGCAAGTCCTCTTCAATGGAAGATGTAAAAGCAACACCCAAGCACTTGGACACACTACTAAACAATTAGGAGTTTTCATGTGAAAAAAACAGTAGTACCTTCACAACCTTTGAACGCATAAAATTAAAAGATTGGCAGCGTAACAACAATCTTTGTTCTTAAATATATACAGAGAACTGTGCTACACAAATATTTTTTTTTCTTCTGTGACGGCCAATAATACAGGCAACTGTTTACATACTGGTAGCATTTCCAACTCAGTACAGTATTGCAGGGCCAGTGATTAATGTGTACAAGCTACTGTGCCTTCTTCTTATTAAGACAAAGCTAATACTGGCAGAGTAGCCAACAGCAGATCGTGCCAGTCTTTAAAATGTTCTTAGGCATTCCAGCTTGTCTGGCAAATGCAATATTGCCAATCGGAGTAGTGCTGTTTAAGCTCATGCATTTCATTTCTCAAAATCATTTTTTAATTTTTTATTTTGTATCAGAAACTCTTGTTCATGGATTTAAAATTCACTTGATGATTCTACGTGGGCTCCCCATTATTGAGTGAAAATTCACAATGTTGTGCATTAAGGTGCTTGGGCAAATTCTGCTAACAACATATTTCTCCTTTATTTAGAAAGTGTATTGTATTTGAGTAGCTTATTTTTTTTTTTAGTAGTTTAGTTTTTTTGTACACCATTTTAACTTTTTATTTAACTTTTTCACTGTCTGGTTTTTTTTTTTCTCTCTGTGAAAAAATTAATAAAATATTGAGGCTAATGAGGGGCCTTTTTGGCAAGAGCAAGTCCAGCATAGTTGAAAGGAGCTTACCTAACCCTCAGAAGTGTTAGTGTGCATTTGGGTAGTTTAGTTTATTTCATTTATGTTCATTGTGTTTTATCATGTCCAGGATAGTTGAAAGGAGCTTACTTTAGCGCCAGAAGCCCCTGCAGCCTTTAATTAATCACCAAACCATGTTAATTTTGCTTTTCCTACCAAAATGCTTCTATTTCACAGAAACCTCCTGATTTTCACCAGAATTTTGGAAAAATGGAAACTCTGCATTTCATTTATTTCTAATCTCCCTTTGAGCAAAGTATACAAGGCAAGATCATATTAAATAAACATACTCACTGATCCTGATTTATTTTTGGGGGTTAGGTTTTTAATGTTATAATCGTCATGTCATTTTGCCACAACACCTCGACTGCACAACTTTAGCAATTATCGCCACAATCATTTTTGAAACATAGAACATTTTATACCAGTGAAATGTTATAATTGTCATGTCACTTTGCTAGAACACTTCAACGCCTTTAAAAAAAGAATCTTACATTTCACTGAGCAAGAGATTTTTGAAAGTCAATCAGAGACCTGCCCAAGATACTGTTTTCTCTAGATGCTCAGTTTTACATGTATATGATAGTAAATAATATCTCATCAATGAAACATTCCCAATCTAACCAACAGGTCGTCTCAGTCTCAAATACGGTGCTCCAAGGCTAATACGTATTATTTATAAGTTACCAAACTTGCAGGGAAGCAACACCACTCCCACTTCTTCTAATTCTTTGTGTTCCACTGTGCTTTAGCAACCTTTATCTAAGGCAGTGTACCAGTCTTAAATAATATAGGCATTGAGGTTGATTTACTAAAGGAGTAGAGACAGTTAACCCAGGCAAAGTGAATTTTAGTGAAACATGGTGAAAGTGTTTTCACTTTGAATAACCAATCATGTTTGAGGGAAATAAAAAAACACAAACCAGATTTTTTTTCTAGCACATGGCATGGTATTTAAAGAAGAACTCCAGTTATTTAAACGGTAACCCTCGGAATGCAGGGGCAACTGCTCACTTTAGCCTAGGGGCTGGCATTCAGAAGATATACCCACCTGATCATTGGTACTACAGTGGTGGGTGCTCACCTCTTTCCCCCTCCACTCCAGTTGTGGTATGTCAGTCGGTGTCCTCACATCAAATGCAGGTGAATGGACCAGCAGTAGACATGACCAGCATTAGACATGGGCATTAGAATTCCAGGGCCGAGGGAAAAAGAGGCCAGGGGACCATTCTGGCAGCTAGACGGGACTAAGGATCAGGTAGGTTTTTTAGTTTTATTTAAGCCCCTAGACCAAAACAAGCAGTTACCCATTGCAGTGCGGGGGTAGCCCTACTTCAGGGGTTAATATTTTAAATTCCTGGAGTTCCGCTTTACCCTATTCACTAACATTTACTTTACAAAGTGAAGTCTACTTTGGTAAACCAAATTATATGTATTACAGTTCATGAAAACCTTGTTTTTGTTTGTTACTACTGGAGGTCTACATTATACACTAGTGTATCTTGTAGGATTTGTCCTATTGCTAGACGGCACTCTTATTTTTTTGCTTTTGACAGACCTGTCAGATTTTCCGCTATTGGTCCACTACAATATCCATAAGCGATTTACTAACATTGCTCAGTAAATTTGAAGAAAGTCCACATTTCTAAATAGGCATGCACTTTGTCTGTAAAGATTTTGAAACTATACAGACAGGAACATGGTTTAAAGCACATGATAGAGTAATAAATGATACCTTTGTTTTGAGTACATTTATCAAACAGAATGGGCTTACCTAAGTACAAACATGCTTTTAAGCTTTTCCAGAAAGAGCAAAGATTTAAATCCTTTAATGGTGACAACGTCATGACCAGGAATTTATTTTACTGGAGCTTTTTTATTCTTCCTGTATGTATTCACTGTGCTGGGCAGAGACTGTTTCACTTAACTTATGAACCAGAAAGGGGTATGGAGTAGAAATTGTGTACAATATACCCCAGGTTCATTTTTAAAGAGTTTATTTGCAGCCTTAACTATATTCGGGTGCCCCTCTTTTAAACAGCCAAACATAATATTTTGGTAAGGCTGTCATTTTGATGAAGACCACAGCTGTGAAAATGATGGCTATGAGGGCCACAGCCATAAACAATGGGGGAAAAAATCAGTATTTACAGTCTCAAATGACATTAGCCTTAACACTACATCCCTCATTTTCCATGTCCGAAAATCATGGTTACTATATTCCAGAGCTGAAGGGAAACAAGCTCACTACGCACCATAGTAATGGTTACAGTGTTTCTCTGCTAGGGCAAAACTTTTTTTTAGTTTTGGATAGTTTAGAAGTATCAGAATTCCTCTTAAGTTTCTTTTGCAAAACGTGTCCCTGTTCACTCCCTGTTTCAGTGATAATGCTGTCACTAAACCAGGATCTGAAGTTAAATCTCCAATAGGATCAAAGCAATAAAAACCTTATGGAAGTTCCTGGCTTCCTCTACTGTCTTAAAATTTATTGTATTTTTATTTTTTTGCTGTTATGTTCCTGTTAAAGAGGCTTTCAATGCACTTCAATGGAATAAAAAAATGGGCCTGCGTTTTTTTTTTTTAATGCAGCACAACGCAATGCACAGTATGTGCACTGTGGTATGCTGATCTGCACCTACATTACTGTGCATTGGAGTGTTATTCTAAATGAATGGCAGCACAACACACTGGCCATGTATTACCACGTGTTGGCACAATGGGCTTAAAATTTGTAAGCTCTGAAAGAAAGCTGCCATCATATGGCCTTGTTGGGAGCAGGAGAAATTCACACATTAATCCAGACCAAGGATATCTTGCCATTACGGCCTCTAAGAGATAGAAGAAGGCAGTATATGATTTAGTCCCAGTGACTACACTACTTCATTGTGCCTGCCTACAGACACCTGGTTTGGTTGTCTAACAGGGACCAATTAGAGCTGTTTAATACAATAACAAAATTAGTAACAAATGTACCGTTAACAAATAATTATTGATTGGATAAAGCAGGGCACTTCTGCACATGTGGCAATGCTAGGGCACTTTCAGCACATTGACATCATCAGAGGTGTACCTTGCCAACTCATTTCTCTGATCATCGGTTTACATCCATGGTGTCATTAGGGGTCCGGGAACAGGAAGAGCAGCCCATTAGTAGATTGCCCCGTCACTAATATGACAGCTGCCTTCCAGCTACACAGTTTTGTAGCATTCAAAGTGGACCTAGACTCAAGCAATTGTATTGTTCAAACAACTGACTTGTTTCCTATTGTTTGAACAATACAATTGTTCGAGTCTAGGTCCACTTTGAATGCTACAGACCCTAACCCTAACCTAATGCCTGACACACCAAGCCTTCCTCCTCTCTTTTCTTTTTCTACCTTGTACCTGTAGCGAGAAATAGCTTTTTTAAATTCCTGTGATGTCATGACCAGATTTTTAAAACGCAGGTGCTGGGAGAAGGGATCAGCAGTATGCCCTACATTAGTTTCTACTGATGTAGGCACCCCCCTCCCCTCCCTCTTTTCATAGGTGTGTGTAGGCAGGCTCTTGAGTGTCAAGGCAGAAGCACAGTCTTTCAGGTAATTTAATGTATGCACGCAAAGAGGGAAAGAGAGAG